TCCAATCTGCTTTTTGACACTCCCTTGGTAAAAATGTGAAAGAAGAATTAGTATCCATGTCAAAACATAATGCCTCAAACTGTGCCCAGCCAATCTAGAGAACTAAAATATAATGGAACATGAGGATATAAATCAAATTAAATCAATAAAAAAAGATTAACTTTAATTGTGTGTTTTAAGACGTATGCAGTCAAAAGTCACTAGAAGTCTTATTCTTGAATATTTGTGATTACAACTTGCACTTAGGTTGTTCATTTACCTTGAAACTCAAAAAATCACAAACACTTTGAATTGCTTTTGACCAATTACAATAATAATCAAGACAAACAGGCAGATTTCAAAATGACAAATTAATGAGCATTTCAGTTTGTGGCTTTGTTTCCTCATGCTCATGTAACTTTTTCCTAGAAACACAAAACCATTATAACATTTTGAGTGTGAACAATTTTCTGAGTTTTAGAGTGACAGGTGCCAGCTGATTCATCTTAGAATTGACTAAAATATTCTCTTTGAACAAATAGTCCCTGATTGATAAGAAATTCTGGACTATAGAACAAATAACAACAACAACAACAACAGTAAAAGCCCCCTCCCCACAAAAAAAAATATAGAAGAAAAAAAAAGGATGAAAAATATATTTATTCCATGGCAGCAACTTAAAGGGTGTCATCTCTTAATGTCAGCTTAACACTGGTAGGAGATGTGGTAGCATTATGGTTGGCACACTGAACTCTGCATCAAGAGATCTGAGATCAAGTCCTAGCCAGGTCATTGTGTTCTGTATTTAGGTATGACCCTTACCCACCTTCACTGACCTGTCACTGCACCTCTCTCCACCCAAGATTTTAATTGGGTCAAGAAAGCCTGACAAAAATCTGGCCTGAAATCCCCCATCCAGGGGAAGTAGTTATAAAGCCTTTGCATTCTTGTGGTAAGCAGCTATGTAAATTTTTTAAAACAGAGGAAAGTGTTTATGTTGGAAAGGCTTTTCAGTCTTGTAGGATTGATATGGTTCACCAACATGGTCACCATTTTAATGTTTTGGCTCACTTATTTGACAGCTGTGACAATGTGGAAATGATCTTAACATCAAGTTGCTCTGTGGTACAGAACACAGGATAATAATCTTTCCCTGAGAATTAAGAAATTTCGCTCCTGCCTCAAGACCTAAAAACAGCTGCCTTAAGATCTAAAAACAGCAAATTAAAATAAAAAGCCAACTGAAGTTAAAAGAATAAACAATTCAAGTGAAGGTACGTACTTGCTGCAGTATTTTTGCATACCACACTGACCACAAGATTTTAAGTCACTCTCTTTGACATTTTTGGTGCATGCCCTGTTTCCACACATTGCTTTTATTTCCACATTAGCAAGAAGTTGGTAGACAGGTGCCATCTTATCCTTTAATGGCAGGTCAACATTTTTGAAGAAAGGAAGCCTTTTTTCTTCAGCATCTTGTCCCAGTTCAAAATACTTCCTGAATTCATCCATGTTTCTTTCTAGCAGATAAATTTTTGCCAGGTAGTAACAAACATTTGGGTATGTCTTGCAGCAGTGTGGGGCCTCTACAAGATACTCCTTTAAAACCTTCACTGCTGTGTCTCTTAATTTTTCAGCGATCCAGGAATCATATTTGGAAATTTCTCTCTTATGTGGTTGTTGATTG